GGAAAACGTTGTTTAAATAAAGACTGAAAGAGTTGTCAGTGGCTTCATGATGGTGACACTAAACTCAAGCAACTGTAGTGTAGTTTGTTTATAGCCAACTATGTTGAAGTTCGTTGATATGGGAAGAAAAAGGAGGCAAACAGTTCAAATTAAACATACAATCTCACAAATTAAAAATACTCAAACATAACGAGCAGCAGCCACCTCACAGCCAACTGACGCACACACAAAACATAAAATGTTCCAGGCCTGGTCATTTCTCTCCCTCAACTGTGCTCACTCCTCCTTACATCCTTCAGGAGGTCCTCAGTGGAAATCGTGACAACTCCACTTGCCACACCAATGTTTGGCTTAAATCTGGTGATTTATTTAGACTTCAAAATTCATCAAATTTGAACAAAACATTATCATCAGGAACAAAATGTGTGACAGTCATTACTTTTGTTAATCACAGAGCTTTTTTTCTGTAAATAATCCAAAATTAGGGATGCACCGATAGGATTTTTGGGGCAGATGCCGATACCGATTTTAACAATCACTTATTGGCCGATTCCGATACCGATATTTGTCACTTCCTCTCTTATTTGAAATTTTGGGATCAAAATAGATAGTATTTTGATCATGTTTTAAATCAGCAACATTCAAAAACACCTGCATTAAATTATGCTAGCAGATTTATTGCTGCATTATAAAATCATTTCTAATGAACATGGATTGGATTTAACATTCAGCAGGCCTACATAAATACAACAGAACAAAGATACATACTAAATAAACAGTGCTTTTTAGATAGGTTTAACAGTTTTCAGGTACAGAAATAAAGTAAACAAAAATATAAAATAACATCACTGTATAAATTAAATACATATTAATCCTTCTTTATTGTAACATACTTTATTATGATTAATCTTCTAATTTGTTTTTGTATACATTTTGATATTTTTTGTAAGTTTAAATATGTATGAGATCTCCATTAACAAGGTGGGACTCTTATTTTGACAGGTTTTCTAATCTTCGGAGCAGCTATATGGGTAATGAAAGCTGTTGTTTATTATAAATTTGTCCGTTTATTAAGCACCCCCCAAAAAGGCATAAGATCTGTATATATTTGTTTACTGTTAGTTGTAATAAATGTTTTGTGTAATTCGCTGTATGTTGATGATAATGCAACTGAGAGTGAGAGTTTTTATTATAAATTTGTCCGTTTATTAAGCACCCCCCAAAAAGGCATAAGATCTGTATATATTTGTTTACTGTTAGTTGTAATAAATGTTTTGTGTAATTCGCTGTATGTTGATGATAATGCAACTGAGAGTGAGAGTTTAATGTGCACTTCTTGTGCTGTGTTTTGTTTAGCTTTTATGGTGATTTTTTTTGGAGTGAAAACGGACGCAATAAACTTAAAACATCAGTAAAGTTTTGGTCATCATTCAGATGAGGTCCGCTACACTTATGAAAGCTACAAAAGTTATTTAGTCAAGAATAGTGTGCGATCTTTTGTTATTTGATTAGCATTAAAGTGCAGACATCAGCGCTAGGATTATGCAACAGACATTATACAGCTCAGTGCCTTCACGCAGTTAATTAATAAACCATTGGTTTGTTATATCAGCCTTTTTCTTATATAGCCGATATGCCGATGGTTGTAAATTGAGGAAAAATCGGCCGATAAATATCGGCGGCCGATACATCAGTGCATCCCTATCCAAAATCCTAATGGGTTTTTGTCGAGGGAACCAGCGTGATGCTAATTTACAGGTTGGCTTAAATACATTATCACTGCAGCAGACTATTTAATTATTTAATTAGAAAGTAATGCTGACTGGACTAACCTTGCTTGACCTTCTTGTCCTCCACAGATTTGAGCAGCAGAAGGAAAGAAGGAATGATGGAGGCTCCGATGGAGGAAGTCTGGCTGGGGTGGGAGTCTGAAATGCTGAGACCAACACAGAGCAACTCATGGGATGGCATCATATCCTGAGGGAACTGCAGTTGTGAGCTCTCAGACAAACAGCAAGCCAACTGCCCTGTAATACCGGCCAGCTCGATTTTGACTTCTGTTGAGCTGTCCTGGAGTCTGTTCCTAAATGCATTATTGAATTAAAATGTTTACAAAAGTGCATTAAAAAGGACTTTTCAGAAAAGTAAACATTTCCACATCTTCCACAATTTTTATCTGTTCAGAGTTCCCCTTTTAAAATGTTTTTCAGTCATACATATAATGCATAAGGATTTAAAAATGTATTTAAAAGATCTAACACTAACTAGAAGAATATATATTCTCAAAATAAATTTCCATTTCAAATCACAGGTTTAAAATTCCTTTATATCTCCAGGTCTGCCATAACCATAAGAATCATGAATTAATGTGAGCCAATCTTGGATGGGTTTTTTTTTTTCTCAGAGTGTGTGACTGTTGGATGACGTACAGAAGGACCTCGTGGATGAGGCTATAGGATTTGACTCCTAGATTGTGCAGCAGAAGGGGGAAGCCTCTGACAGCACTGGCCCGCTCAGATTCACTGTTACTTTGCAGGGCCCAGCGGTAAACCGACGACCGCCAGTCACCGCACACACTCTTCGACAGCAGGGCAAGTAGAAACACACAGTGCGCTCGAGTTTGTGCAGCTACAAGAAAACGCACAAAACAACAAACATTGAAATGTACTGTAAGTGAACTGTAAAATAAATTAAACTTATTGAGGAACAACACTGAAATAAACAGTTATCCATTAACATTATGAGACACTATAAGATACTTTTACTTTGTAAATGAGCGTTTACTATATACAACAACAAAAAAAATGGTTTAGGCCGAGCAGACCTAATAAAACACTCGCAGTCTGTTCATCCTCTGATCCCACACGCGCATCACTTTCAAAAGTATTTTCGCACTCCGGAGCTTTGTCTACGGCAAGCGCGTCGGGTCAGTTTGTTTGCAGTCGCGCAACGAGTAACGTGAGGTCGTGGTGGCCTATTGGCGCTCTGTTGAATACGGTGACCGAGAAGTGCAGAACAAATCACAATTCTGAAAACAAAAGAACAAATTACAAACGCAAATGCAAGTCTAAAAAACAAAATAACAATTCAGAAAGCACAACAACAATTCAGAAAACATTATAACATGTCAGAAAACACAATGACAAATTCGAAAACAAAATAACAAGTCAGAAAACACAACGACAAATCTGAAAACAAATTAACAAGTCAGAAAACACAACGACAATTCAGACAAACCGGAAGATGTAGGTATAGTTTGAGACAGCGCCATTGGTTTGGGATTACTCACCGCTGACCGGACGAGACATCTGTCAATCAACGAAGCTGTGTGGTGATTGGTTAATATCACAGTCTATGGGTGAAGGACAAGAACATTACAGTCCTACAGGCGCGAGTTAAAGTAAAATATGGGGATTACAAAGTTAGCGTATCTAATTCACTTTGACGCGCCAGACTCTATGCGCAACAAAGAGATCGGCGATTATTCTGGTAAGATCAATGCAGTGCTGTTCAAAAAAATGTAACAAAGCAGCTAATTGGGCATCAAATGATCTATTAATCCGCACGAAAGAAGAGAAGACAGTAAGAAAAGCCACTGACAGGCGGAAAATGCATCTGGAAACTACTCTTCAGAGTTAGATTGTTAGCATTAGTTGTCATCTAACGTTACGTTTTTTGTTCTTTTTTAATTTGCATAAAACTGCACTGATTGTCATGTATCTGTGATTTAGGGAAGATTATCGCACTGGATACATCTATTGTGGTGAATCAGTTTCGCTCTGCTCTCCCCAGCCATCTGAAGCTAAGGTCAGTATTATTGAGTCATCGAGTTTGTTAAAAAAATACATTAAAATCAGTGTCTTTTCTGTTTTGTAAATATTAAGATTTTTTAGGTATAGATGTGCTATCTTATCATATGAACGTGTGATGTTGCAGTCCTCTCACAGGCTTGTTTTACCGCACTCTTACTTTCCTGGAGCATGACATCAAGCCTGTCTTTGTGCTTGATGGCAGGCCACCTAATCAAAAGAGAGCTGTGGTGAGATGTGTACTAATACACTTATTTAGTAATTATATACACTACTGAGCAAAAGTCTTAGGCCACTACTATTTTCACCAGTCAGTTATTTCTATCTTTTGCTGTAGTGTGTCGGTACGAAATATCAGTTTACATTTCTTTTGCCATTAATTGTAATAATCCAGTGAGATTTTTGCATGCACAAGGAGTCTGACAACAGGCAATGCTCCACACAGAGATCTGATCTCACTATCATCCAGAAATAACGGGCTTAAAACCTGTTGTTGTTGTTGTTGTTGGTGGTGGTGGTGGTGGTGGTGAAAATACTAATGGCCTAAGACTTTAGCACGGTACTGTACATATAATAATTATGTAATTATTGTGTATTTAATAATATTTCATATATTTTAATTCCTCTAGCTGGAAAAAAGAGCTCAAAGCACAGGCTGGAACAGCTCACAGAGCTCCAACACAGGTGTGTGGCGTTGTATTGTAAATATGTGGCAAAAAATATTATTACAATTTAAAATAACCGTTTTCTGTTTAATATATTTTAAAATGTAATTTATTTCTTTGAGGGTAAAGCTTAATTTTCAGCAGCCATTACTCAATCGTCAGTGTCACATGATCCTTTAGTAATCATTCTAATAAGCTCATGAAACATGACTTATCATTATCATTTGTGCTGCTTAATATTTTTGTGAAACGTTATACTTTTTCTTAATGAATCTTGAATAGAAAGTTCAAAAGAATAGCATTTATTTGAAGTAGAAATCTTTTGCAACATTATAAATGTCTTTACTGTCATTAAAAGTAGTCTTTTCTTCCAAAATAATATTATAACTATCGTATTATTTCACACTGTTTCTGCTAATCATTATTTCTAAACAACAACATTGTGAAATATTATTACAATTTAAAATAACCGTTTTCTGTTTAATATATTTTAAAATGTAATTTATTTCTTTGAGGGTAAAGCTTAATTTTCAGCAGCCATTACTCAATCGTCAGTGTCACATTATCCTTCAGTAATCATTCTAATAAGCTCATGAAACATGACTTATCATTATCATTTGTGCTGCTTAATATTTTTGTGAAAAGTTATACTTTTTCTTAATGAATCTTGAATAGAAAGTTCAAAAGAATAGCATTTATTTGAAGTAGAAATCTTTTGCAACATTATAAATGTCTTTACTGTCATTAAAAGTAGTCTTTTCTTCCAAAATAATATTATAACTATCGTATTATTTCACACTGTTTCTGCTAATCATTATTTCTAGTGTGCTTGTGACTATATGACATTTATGTACATTATGATATTTTGCACTTTAGTGTCCAACTTTAAACAAGACTGCCTGCGTCTCTTACAGCTCATGGGTGTGCCATGTATCAAGGTATTTTAATTTAGTTAGCTTTATAAACATAAATTCTGTCTCATATTAATTTGCGAGGTTCTTGCTTGACTTGTTTTGACTTTCATCGCCGTGAATGTCAGGCTCCAGGTGAAGCAGAGGCGCTGTGTGCCCACCTGGTCAAAAGTGGCACAGTTAATGCTGTAGCCTCAGAGGACATGGACACACTGGCATTTGGAGGGACTGTTCTGCTCCGCCAGCTCAATGCAAAGAGAGACAGGTGAGAAAGTAGTCAAAATCTTGTTCTGATTGTAGATTTTGCAGGAGAACATTGAAAAAGATATGCTTTTAAATATAAAGTTTTAGCAAATATTATTTTTTCTTACAAGCACACCTAAAAATAGTACATGAAAGATGCATGAATACAAAAATAAAATAAATGAACAAATATTTAAGCAAATGTAAACATAAAACTTAAGGCATTTTAGCTCATCTACTGTCTGGCTCAAAGGATTTGTCCTCACAAGCTCAGTTTTAATAGTGTATTATAAATTATACGTTGTAATAATATCGTTATGTAATAAAATATTTAATATGAATAATTAATATTTTATTAGTGATATTAATATTTGCTATTATGGTTGTTATTTTTATCATTTCACCTTTTGTTGTAAGCCTTAATTGAGCTCTCTTAATCAGAATCAAATCATGAGCTTTATTCGCCAAACACAAGAAAGTTGTTGTGGTTTCCAGGAGCTCTGAGTGCATACATGCATACATATATACATAAATAACACGAGAGAAAGAAGACATAGAACATTTAAATAAGTAAATTAAGAAAAGAAAAAATAATAATAACAAATGTAAAAAAATAAAATAAAGTAACTTACATTAATGATATGACGTTATAATATTTTGCAAACCAAATTATTTGTTACAAATATTAAATCAAACATATTACGTAATGCCGAGTTAAATAATATTGAATATATAAATTTACAACAAGGCATTAATAGTCATTTTTACACCTTTTTGGAAAGGCATGTTTCTAACATGTTAAATTGACATAGAGATAAAGGACTTCTTTATTAATGACCTTCTGTTGTGTGTATTAAAATACAGATATCTATCATGATTATGTCCTTAAATCATTTCTCTCATAGTGAGGTCACAGAGTACTCCTTACCAAAGCTATTGGAAGCTCTACAGCTGACATATAAACAGGTATTTTCAATGTTTTGCCTTCTTTTCATTTTTTGCTGACCCTTGCTCTTAATTTTTGTAACAAATCTCAGCACCTGACTGTCAATAGCTGCTAATATACATATCTAAAATATCTTGATGCAATTGGCATTACTCCTGAGTGTAGTAGTTGTAACTTTATTTTGATTTTGAGAAACGTTAGAATTGCATGGTTATTGTTAAAGGAGTCCTATTATGCTCTTTTACAAAGTCTTGATTTTGTTTTGGGGGTGTACTAGAACATGCTCTCATACTAGGTTTTTCGAAAAACACATTATTTTTCACATAATTTACATTATTACAATACCTTTCTCCCCAGCCTGGCACAAACGGCTCGATTAGTTCCGGCTTTGATGAAGGTCCGCCTTCCGAAAAACAAAATGTGTTGTGATTGGTTAGCTGTCCCAGTGCGTTGTGATTGTGAACAGCTTAGACAGTGTTTCAGTACTGCCATGCCCCCTTACTCCGTCTTTCAACTAAAGCTTTTGGCGAATCCGGCACTGTATTCCCTCGTGTTGTGGAAGCTGTCCTCAGTAAAATGTGCAGCACACAATAGCAAATTGGGGTTATAATGCTCAGGAACAGAGTTAAAAAATAAATTGCAACCACTGTTTCCTGACATCATCCGCTTTCGGAAGCCCAAACAAAGACGTTTGGGCACGGAGGTGAAAAAAACAGCGTTTCAGGCGGTCGCACACCCGATGAGAAGCACAGCGTCGCGCCACGCCACGTCTTTAATTTTATTTGAAAACATTATTTTCTATGAGTGTAGGCACACCGG